GAGCCTTCTCTTCTCCAGGCTGAACAACCCCAACTCTCTCAGCCTGTCCTCATAGGAGAGGTGCTCCAGCCCTCTGATCAGCTTTGTGGCCTCCTCTGGACTCACTGCAACAGCTCCATGTCTTTGTTTTACTGGGGCCCCCAGAGCTGGATGCAGTACTCCAGGTGGGGTCTCATGAGAGTGGAGTAGAGGGGCAGAATCACATCTCTCTACCTGCTGGTCACGCTGCTTTTGATGCAGCCCAGGACACGGTTGGCTTTCTGGGCTGCAAGCGCACACTGCCGGCTCATGTTGAATTTCTCATCAATCAATACCCCCAAGTCCTTCTCCTCAGGGCTGCTCTCAATCCCTTCTCTGCCCAGCTGATAGTCGTGCTTGGGATTGCGCCGACCCACATGCAGGACCTTGCACTTGGCCTTGCTAAACTTCATGCGGTTCACACAGGCCCACCTCTCCAGCCTGTCCAGGGCCCTCTGGATAGCATCCCTTCCTTCCAGCGTGTCGACCACACCACACAGCTTGGTGTCATCAGCAAACTTGCTGAGGGTGCACTCGATCCCACTGTCCATGTCACCGACAAAGATGTCATTTCAAATCATATAAAACTCATATATGAACAAGGAGGGAGATGCTTATAGGCACAGCAAGGATGTCTACAGAACAGATGATAACTATTTTCTTTAGAATAGCTCCTGTCTTTAAAATCATGAATAAGATTCAGATGTCATTATCACAGTTTGCTCATCCACATTCAAAACTGAAATATCTAGCACTTTTTTTTTACAATCCAAGAAAGCAGTTGAAGAAAGCTGTTAACCCTCATGTCCAAAATTCCTTGAAACTTACTACTTCAAAGCTGTATTCAATCCTAGAATAAAAAAGAAATGTAGCACCTTTGATTTGTACCAAGTCATAGCAAAGCAACTTAGTGTAAAAAATTGTCAAACTTTTTCAATAATGAATACTAACAAATGTATAATATATATAAAAGAACATATAGATGATATAGTCATTTATCAAATACTTAAGAGCAGCAGTAGTATCAAACAGTAAGTGATGCTTCACCTAAGTAAACATATGCTTACATATACAGCCTACCAGCAGATGAATATAACACAGTGGTGTTCCAGTGCTGAATATTAAGAAACTGAATGAAGAGCAGCATAGTTTCCATCTATCTTTATTGAAAAGTAAGGCCAGTTTTTGAAAAGATCTATTTTTGAAGGATCACGTAAGGAAGCTTCAACCTGCAGAAGACCCTAAGTTCTGCTTGTAAGATGTCTTTTTCAGGAGAAAAATACCACAATGGAAAGAGACTTGCAAAGTCATGCAAGGTCTGTGAGAACAGATTCCAGTATGGTGGACTGCTGGTCCTCCTCCTAGTTCAGTCATTTACACCGAGCAACAGTACCATCAGTAGCTTCCGGTCAGGGGTTCAGTTTAAAGTGTTTAAAGCTAGAGGGAATTTATTTAGATAGCTGTATTATGAAGCTGTTCTGCACTTTGAAACATGAAATCAGCACCACTCACAAAGCATGGGAATATGGTAAAAGTTAAAATGTTTTATGCACTCTGAAAACAGCATTACAGTCAAAATTCTGCCTAGAGACTATTTTAACGTCCATCACATTAATCTGAACAGCTGTTATAATGAGAGCATTTGTGCTATCCCACTCCTCCTTTTTCAAACAGGAACAACATTCTAAGGAAACATAAGTGTCAGTACCTAATATATTGCTTCATTAGCATTAATTGCCATCTATAAACTACTACTCTCCAGTGTCAAATAATTTCTGATTTTCTTATCAGCATTTTGATATTTCATTTTCAAGTGATGGTATTTTTTCATCGGAGACATGGCAGGAAGAAAACAGCGTTAATGAAGCATGATGTACGTAAGAAGAGTTTGATGGTGTTTTTACAGGGAAACCCCTGAAGCCAGTTTCATAAACTTGACTTAATTAATGACATTGTATAATAATTTAGCTTTTCCTTCTTTATTTTTCCCAGAAGGCTTTCATTAAAAACTCCACTTTTGTCCAAATAAGTTCTTTCTTATCTTTAAGATAAAAGCCAGAACATATTTCTTGAAGATCTTTGTACTGCAGGAAGATGATTATTTGCACAACTTTAATTGCTGTCCAGCTGGGTTATAAGAAGGAAAGATACAACATAGGAGTAATTAATAGAAAGATAAATCGGAAACTTCATTGAAATATTTTTGAGGTGATTAAGTCTTCCTACAATCAAGAACTTACAATATTTGTTCTAAGGGGATTAAAGTAGGGATTTTTACTTCCAGAAGTATAAAAATTTTAGCTACCAATGATCATATCAAGACATACATACCAGTTTTATTTAAAAGTAAAATTCAGTTGACTTGAGATCAGGCAAAATTTAGAGAATGACAGGTGGCTGCTAAAACATCCTACAGACTTTTTAAACGATCTTATTTTCTAATTTCCTGTTTTAATCCATAGCAGATGTGTTTTTCTTCTATATTAAATGCATATGCTAGTAGTCTTTTGTAAGACCATTGTGTATTTAAATTGATACAATGTTGAAAAGAACTAAAACAAATAGCAGGAAAAAGTAAGGAGTAATCAATATACATTTAAATTAAAGCTAGCTAAGCATGTCGACATGAAAACTTATTTATGAAAAAAGTAATTTAGTCATTACAGCTACAGTTTAATATTTAGACTCAAATGAAAAGTATCCTCTTCTGCCAAAAAATAATTGATGTCTATGTACCATGTATAGTAAGGTGCTTACCATAGCAAGATTTACACACCCTGTCCCCAAATATGATAATCTTTATGAAGAAGTATGTGATAATGTTCAGGGTCAGCAATGCTGACTTAAGCCAGACTTTAAACATCCTCAAGAAGTTAATCAGGTAGTTATGTGCATTGCCAACTTGCTTAAATATGCCAGCATCACAATTAAGGGGAAATTTAACCTGGCCAAGGGGATTTGAATCCTATGCTGTCACTTCTCTTCTAACTGTGTCTAGAAGAGAAAAGCAATATGCATGTAAGTCTACAGAGCTTACCTCTGGAAAAAAAGGCTAATTTTAGGGAAATCATTTTTATTTGGAAAAAGAACCAGATAGTGGATACCTGTCTCTCATCAGAGAGCAATTACTCCTCTGAGTAGCCCCATTCTCTCTTTATTTCAATGGGAGCAAGGAATTCAAAATAAGTGAATAAAATGGAATTATTAATCATTTTATAACCTTGACTTTCATGATCTTCAGTAAATTTGCAATCCCAAACATATTTTGGTTCATATGGTATAGTAATCATTAACATAAGTTGTTGGATGCTAATTTGAAGATAATAGTTATTGCTAAAGGTGAGCACAGTTCTTGTACTTCCTTCCTTGAAAGTAATAAAAAGATTGAATTCTTGGCATTGGTTAATGCTAGATGACTTTATGACGGTTAGCTTAAAATAGCTGAAATTTATTGTAACTATAATCTATTATAGAATTTGGATAATTAAGTACACCTAAAATCCTAGAATTTCAAGTGTAACAGTATTTTCTTCTTAAAGCTAACAAGACTCATGATGGCAGTTAGTGGCTGAAAAAGGAGCTAGATCCCTATCTTTTTGCAGCAGGTCTCCAGAAGATGACACCCCCCCTTCAGTCCTGGTGGACTACTTGAACATGTATCTGCAGTGTACCCTTGTGGCAATGAGGTCTAATAGCATACTGGGCTGCATCGTTCCACTCCTGGGAGACTGCATCCTGGATACCATGTTAAGCCTTCTCCAGTATGACAGAGCTATGAGCAAACTGAGGAGACTCACACAGGGAGCAGTTAAGATGGTCAGGGAGTGGAAGCACATGAAGAGGCTGAAGAAGTTGTGTTTAACCTGCAGAAAAGAAGGCTTAAAGGGGGCTTGTAACTTCAGCCTGCTACTAGGAGGGCTAGAGACAAGATGAAGCCAGACTCTTCTCGGAGGTGCTCAGCAA